CAACCTCGATGTCAGTCCCATTTTACAACAGTGGCACTCTGCAGTATTTGTCCTTTTGTCCATAAGATGTTTCACTCAGCATAATGTCTTCCAGGGTCACACATTTTGAATAATATTTAATGAGCTCCTTCTTTTTCAATGAAACGTAGTAGTCCATGTGTGAATATAACACAGCTTCTCCATTTGTTTGCTAATGTGCACTTGGGTTTTTTCCAACTCTTTGCTATTGTGAACAAAGCTGTGATAAACATGGGTGTGTGTATATATCTGGTTGGGTAGCAGTTATGGTTTCTCTGTTGTATATTAACAGTAGTGGAATTGTTGGGTCAAATGGCAACTTTTTGAGAAACTATCATTGTGGTTGCACCATTTTACACTCCCACCAACAGTGAATAAGGGTTTCCATTTCTCTGCAACCTCGCCAGCATTTGTTGTTTGCTGTTCTGTTAAATTTTGCTATTTTCACTGGGGTGAGATGCTATCTCATAGTTGTTTTGATTTGCATCTCTCTTAGAGATAGGGATTTTGAACATTTCTTCATGTGTTTGTTTGCCATGTGAATGTCTTCTTTGGTAAAGTGTCCTATTATGCATTTTAAGACTGTTTTAATGAAATATTTTTTAAAAGAGAAAAGTAAAATGGGGGTGGGATGTAGGGAGGAAATTGTGCAAAAAATGAATGAATGGAAATCCAAGTTCTTAGTAAATTTTTGTTAAATTCTCAATAAAAAATTTAAAAAGAACAACTTTATATTGGTTTGCTTATAAAGTTCATATACATTGTGTTTCACACTATTCTTCATTCACATTGTATTTCATACAATCCTTCCCATGCATTATGTTTTATCAAATTAATCACCATTGGACTATGCCCATCATTACCCTGTCTTTTCAGGTCTCTATCTGATCTTTTCCATTTGCTTTTTCCCCTCCCTCCACCCACCAAATTGTGCAACCCTGTGATTTTTGCCTCTACTGATCCTCATCCCTCTGCTCTAACCCTTAGCCCTTGGGTCCCTATACATGTTTTATTAGTTATTCTTCTTTTTTTACAATATTGGTCTTATGCAGCATTTGTCCTTATGAAATTGGTTGAGTTCCCTTAGCATAATGCTTTCCAGTCTCTCCTAAGTTATGTAGCATTTTTTTAATCATTGCTTCTGAGTTCTGCATAGTATTCCATTTTGTGAATATACCATAATTTCACTATCCATTCAATTGTGGTTGGACAATTTTATCATATATTTAAGAAAATTTATCATCAATTCTACTTAAATTACTAAAAAATAGAAAAAGAAGAAACACTCCCAGGGATATTCTATGAAACAAGCATAACCCCAATACTAAAACCAGGCAAAGACATCACCAATTAAAAAACCTTACAGACCAATATCTCTCATGAGCATAGAGGCAAAAATCCCTAACAAAATCTGAGCCAGCAGAATCCAAATACATAAAAAAAGTAATTCATCATGATCAAGAGGGATTCATACAGGTATGCAAGGATGGTTCAACATAAGGAAAATAATCAACATAACTCAACACATAACAGAGTAAATAATAAGAACCATATGATCCTAGCAATTGATACAGAGAAAGCATTTGACAAAATCCAACACTCCTTCCTGATTAAGACACTCAACAAAATTAGAATAGATGGGACTTATCTCAACAAAGTGAAAAGTATATATGCAAAACAAGAGCCAATATCACTGACTGGGAAAAGTTTAAAAGAATTTTCCTTCTAAAGAGGGACCAGACAAGGATTCCCACTGTCACTACTTCTATTAAATATTGTACTGAAAGTACTTGCTAAGGCAACACACCAAAGAAAAAAAAAGAAAATTAATATAGATTAGCAAAGATATAGCTAAACTGCAGATGGTAAAAATGCAGATGATATGATAGTGTACACAGAAAACACCAAGGACTTAACAAAAAAACCTGCTAGGGCTAGTAGACCAATTTAGTAGGGTGGAAGGCTATCCAAAAGTCAGTGGGATTCCTCTCCAGTAAAAAAGAGAACTCAGTAAAGGAAAATAAGAAAGCAAACCATTTGCACTAGCCAAGCACCAGTTGAGATAACTGGGAATGGACCTAACTAGAAACGAAAAAGACCTGTACAAAGAAAGCTACAGAACTTTTCTGCAAGACACAATAAAAGACCTAAATAAATGGGGAAAATGTACCTTGTTCATGGATAGGAAGATTCAATATAGTGAAAATTATAATCCTACCAAAAGCAATCTACATTTTCAGTGCAATCTCAATACAAATTCATATATCAAATTCATTTTTCAAGGAGGTTGAAAGAGAAATTGTCAAGTTTATTTGGAGAGCAAAGAGACCCTGAATAAGCAGAGCACTCCTAAAAAGCAAAAATGAAGTGAGAGGAATAGGACTCCCTGACCTCAAAACCTACCACACAGTGGTAGTAAGCAAAACAGCAGGGTACTGGTACAGTAACTGTCAGATAGACCAATGGAACAGAATCGAGAATGCAGAAATGGACCTATCTATCTATGGTGAACTGATATTCAACAAGGAAATAAAACCTATCAAATGGGGAAATTACAATCTTTTCAAAAAATGACGTTGGCAAAATGGACTGCAGAAAGCTGAAACAGGATCCATATCTTACACCACACACAAAAAACAACTCAAGGTGAATCAGAGACATGGAGTAAAGCTCAAAATCATAAAGTTAATAAGAGGCAGACTGGGGCCAAGCTTAGAAAGCCTAGTCTATGGTATAAAGAAGCTAACTAATACAGACAGAAATGCACAATCTGGAAAGGATAAAATTGAAAATCTCTTGTCTTGAATCTCAATTAGTGCCAATATTGTGAGTCATTATTCAAAAGCTAACTTAAAAATATTTGTCAAGATGAGTTCTGGATATTAAAATTTTCTAAATAGAAATAAACATCCTGTGACTCATAACCTTTGAACAAATCCCTTCTGTTCAAAACTTGGTCCCCAGTAGTATTTTGAGAAGCCTTCGGCGAATTTCTTTGGTTTTAACGGAATAAATGACAGGGTTGAGCATTGGAGGCACAAAGAGGTAGACAAGGGACATGAGTGTGTGCACATACTTTGGAGCATGTCTCCCATAGCGAGCAGCCATAGATACACCAACCATGGGCACATAAAAGATGAGAACAGCACAGATGTGGGACACACATGTGTTGAGTGTCTTTAATCGCTCCTCCCGGGAAGCAATGGCCAACACAGAGCGCAGAATGAGCACATATGAGAGAAAAATGAGTGCAGAGTCCAAACCAAAAGTAGAGATAACAATAAATAAACCAAAGATATTGTTGACAGAGATATCACCACAGGGCAGGCGAATCAAGTCTGGGTGCAAACAATAGGCATGAGAAAGTACATTAGCCTTGCAGAAGGGCAGTCTCTTCAGAAGGAAAGGTAGTGGAAAGACCACGCAGAAACTACGGATAATAACTGTTATGCCCATGTGTAACACTCGGGTATCAGTGAGCACTGTGGCATACCTCAGAGGGTTGCAGATAGCCACATAACGATCAAAGCTCATAGCCAGCAGAATCCCAGACTCCATGAAGGAGAAAAGGTGGATAAAGAACATTTGAGCCATGCAAGAATTAAAGCTGATCTCCCTTAATTGAAAGCAATATGTGGCCAGCACCGTGGGAAGTGTGGAAAAGGATACACCTAGGTCATTGACTGATAGTAGGGACAGGAAGTAGTACATAGGCTGATGCAAACTCTGTTCCTCCTTGATAATGAAGAGAATAAGGGCATTTCCCACAATGGAGACAGTGTAAAGAGGACCAAGCAGCAGAAACATCCAGTGCTGGGAGGTCTCCAGCCCTGGGATACCTGTCAACGTGAAAGGAGGCAACCCTGACCTGTTGTGAGGGTTATCTTCCATCATGGGACTCCTGTTTAGATTCTAGGAACACTCCTGTAAAGAAGACAAAAATCAAGTTTCATCCACCACCTCTATCTAATATCTCGAGATCATATTATATCATCCAGTTTTTCAATTTATAAAAATATAAATTTTATTCCTTAAGTCATTTATTCTTGCCCTTCATTGTTGCCATTTTCTGGAATCATCTCAGTTCTTCTCATTTATTCAAGTGGCTAGTCTGATAACCCTACTTTGCATGTATTTGATTGATTCCTATGCATAATTCTGTTACACCACTCCTAATCAATCTAGAAACTATAGAGAATATTGGACAGAATCAGAAAACTGTGGAACAAAACTCGAAATCACAAAAATTACCAGATTTGCTGCTCTATTAGAACCTGATGAAACTTCTGAGAATATGACCTTCATTCATACGTTAAGCCTGGAATTAAAGTCATCCCCCATGGCTCACCTTTCAGCCAGATAATAAATAATAGGATATACAGGTGAGTAGCAACACCAAGGAGGTATTCTCCCTACTTAGAACAATCAAGTCTACAAGATCAAAAGGGCACAGCATTTTTCCAGAGAGAAAATTCAAAAGTTAAGAATGGATAGGGTAGGAAAATTAAGCGAAATGAGAACCACAGCCGACAATTTGGCAAGTGTTGTTACCAAGTGCAGACTGTAACTGTATAAAACAATATTCATATAAATGAAAAAATAATTTACCTGTGTATTTTATTATAATAAAGTAATAATTAATAATGCTAAATATCTGTTGTGTTGTTGTTAATTGTCTTTGAGTTGAGCACAACTCATAGCGACCCTTTAAAAAAGGCCTGAAGCCTTTCTATAACTAGCATTAATAATAAAAATTCAGTTTCTATTTAATAATTTAAAAACAAGCATAAGATATTTTTATCAAAAGCAATCCTTAACTATTAATTTAAGACAAGACAAAACTTACCTGATAACTATACCCTTAAGTAAGATGAACCCTTGGAGTAACTGAATAACTGAACACTCCAGTTATTTATGAAGACATGAAACTTTCTTTCATTCCCTTTTTCCTCCTATGGGACCATCAGTACTTTATCTACAACTTCTTTATTTTTCATAGTGTCTTATTAATTCCAGTCATTTATCTGGATATAGGATAGATCGAAAAAAAGCTAGCCCCCAATAAGGGTGACTTTTCATTATGAAGAAACACAGTTGGGTTGTGGGTGTTTTTTGTTGGTTTTTTGTTCTTGTTTTGTTGGTTTTTTATTTTTGTTTTTGTTTTGTTTGTTTGTTTGTTTTTGCTGTGTGCATAAAGTAGATTTAAACTCATTTTTCTAATTCCATTCACTTTTTCATTCTTCCAGAGTCCTTGAGTAAGCAAACAGTTCACTCAATCATCTGTGACTCACAAGTTTGGGAATTAAAGTAAACCAAGAGGTAGCACAATATTCTAGGAAACTTCTGAAAACTCTGAAAAATTCTGAAAACTCTGCTGTTTAAACATTTATGGTACACAATTCTTTTCTGATATATATGGGATCATCATAAGTCTGGTCTTTGGGTTTTGGGTGTGATTTTTTTTAATTGGGTCTTTGTTTTCTGTCTGTGGTATTACCCTAAAGCTGGCTTTTTTAGCCATTACCATAGCCCCTTTGGCCTCTCGCTACCTTAACTGCAGGCACATGGTCTTTCAAATCATCAACAGCTATGGAAGTAGAATAAGAGAGAGAGTGCTTCCCACACTGTGCAAGTGAGGCTTGAGGGACACTGGAGCAAGATCCTGTTGAGGATGAGACCTTGGTAATGGTGGTGGAGAAACTAGGACATTGCAACTGAGGAATTGTGACAAGGTGTAACCAGAGGTGCCCTGAGATAAAGGCCATAGTTAAAGGGTTTTGCTGTTCTTGCCAGATGGTGGAAGGAGAAGGTGACTGCTGAACTGAAACTAACGCCTGGAATAATTGAAGATTTGAACTTTGAGACTGCTGAGCTAATACCTGAATTTATATTGGGCAATATACTTTGCCTCCTCCACTCTCCAATTTCTCTGTCTAGTATTCCCAAATAATTTTATTTGCTGAAACATCATTTCTTAGTTATCTTTTTAATAATAACACAGACCTGAAGCTCTTGCTGCAGAAGGTCAAGGACTGTAGTCTTCAATATGGACTGAAGCTCAACATCAAGAAGACAAAGACTCTCACCACTTGGTCAATTGGCAGCATCATAATAGATGGAGAAGAGATTGAAATTGTTAACAATTACAGCTTGCTCGGCTCCACAAACACTCTTAACATCAGAAGTCAGGAAATCAAAAGATGAATAGCATTGGAAAAATTGGCTGTCAGGAACCTCTCCAGAGTACTGAAAAGCAATGATGTCAGTCTAGAGAGTAAGGTGTACCTAATCCAGGCCATGATCCTCACAATTACTTATTATACTTCAGAGAACAGTAAAATTACTAAGGATGATAGAAGAAGAATTGATGCCTTTGAGTTCTGGTGCTAGAGAAGATTCTTGAACATGGACTGCCAAGAAAACAAATAGGTCTTAGAGAGGGTTAAACCAAGTTTCTCCTTGGAAGCTAGGATTTTGAAGCTGTCTCACATACTTTGGGCATGTGGCCAGGAGAAATTGGTCCTTGGAGAAAGACATCATGCTTGAAAGGATAGAAAGATATGCAGGAGAGGAAGACAGTGGATGAGATGGATTGATACAGTAACTGAGGCAATGGGTATTGGTGTGTCAAAATTAGTGAGTCTGGCTCAGGATAGGGAAGGGTTCAGAGCTACTGAACATAGGGTAGCTATGAGTTGCAAACTACTTCTATGGGGCATAAAAACAACAACAACAATCCCAAATTAACTGGATTAATAATTTACTTCTACCCTAGAATTTATTTTTATTCTTGTCAGGTCTTTTAATCATTTTATCAAAGACTGAGACTTAAAAGCCGGTCATCACTTTGACTTCTTTCTTTTGATTTACTATGTTAAACCACATTAACAAATGGTAAAAAGCCTAGATGGCCCCTGTCAACACTCTTCTCCTTCTTATATTACCACCATCATACGTTAGACCTAAAATATTGCATTCCTGTGCCAAAATAATATTTTTCTTATTAGCTTCCTGCCTATAATTAGCCCATTCTCTAATGTAAAATAGGAGTAATATGTTAAAAGGAAATTGTTCAACTTTGTTGTTTTTATGTGCTGTCAAGTTGGTTATGACTCATAGTGACTCTGTGAACAGTAGAGCTGAACCTTGACCTCTACTGTGCCATCCTCACAATGGACAGAGTGCTCAAGCCCATTTTTACAGTCACTGTATCAGTCCATCTTGTTGAATGTGTTCCTCTCTTTTTATGACTCTCCATTTTCCCCAGCATATCTTTCCCAAAACTGATCCCTCTCCATAACATGTTCAAGGTACAGTAAATAAATTTTTACCACTCTTGCCTCTAAGGAACACCCCTGCTGCATTACTTGTTCCATGGGAAATCAATGGGTTATTCAGTACTCTTTACCATAATTCAAATGCATAGATTCTTCTTTAGTTATCCTTATTCATTGCTCAACTCTCAGATTGCATAGGAGGCAATTAAAAATATGGGCTTGGATTAGGTGCACCTTAAAGTGTACTTAAAGTGACTTTTAAAGACTAATCTGTCTAGAAATTCCAATTGTGTCCTCATTACCAAGGATTCAAATTCAAACTCTGTAACATTAAAATTCCAAAATGCTGTTGTTGTTATGTGCCATTGAGTTAACTATGACTCATAATATGCACAATATCTCTGAACATTTTCTCTACCCTGAACCAATTTCATTCTCTGACACTTCTACCCTCTCATTATTCCAGTTACTATGCCTATTCATCTAATTCAAGGTCTTCCTTTCCTGTACTGTCCCTACATCCTTCCAAGCAAATGATAGCCTTCTCCAAGGACTTGTCCCTCCTGGCAACATGCCCAAAGTAGGTGATACTGAGCCAGTCTTGCATATTTTGTTAATGTTTCTGGCCTCAAATATAAAAATCCTCTTCCTGTATCTAAGGATACCCAGATTAAGCCTACTTTTTGGCAACCAAACATAACCTGAAGTTCCCCTAGCTGCCAGATATTTTTGTTTGTTATGTTTGTTATTAGGTGCCATAGAGTTGCTTGTGACTCATAGTGACCCTATCTGCAACAGCTCTGAACTCTGCTCTATCATGAGCATCCTAATTTATCATTAAGGTCTAGATACCCTTCCCTGACTACTTGACTTCTATTGGCAGCCAAAGTTAACTTCCTCCCTACATGCTTTATACTTATATCCCTGTTAGTATCCATTTCTCTGCCTGATTTCTGTTGTAGTATCATGAGTATTCTCCTCAGTCCTCTCCCACCATCTCCATGGCTCAACCTTGACTCTGATTATTGCAACCAGTCCCTACTTTGATCATAGCATGGTTTGAACAGGCTCTATAGATCTAAAGAGCTAAGACCCTTTTTGGCACTTGGTTTTCTTTGATGCCGCCTTGTCAAATGACACTATGAATATCCAGAGAAGAGTTGTGAAAACTCTTAGAGACATAAAATTAAATTACGTGCCCTAAGTGAGCCCTACTTCTCAGTCTGTACTCAGGGTTACTTTATCCTTTCTTCCAAGAATATTTTTTTCTTCTCTTTTCCACATTCAAAGGTCTCCTTTATTTCCCTACCTGTAACCTGCTGCTCCTCAGGACAAGAATGGGTAATCTCCTCCGTGTGATTAACTGTCTCTGAAAACATTCTGGAGGGTCAGCTATGGGTTGGTTCTGAGTCCGTATAACACAACAACAGCAAGCTCTAACTACACTTACCTGTTTGTCTATGCATGAAATGTGGAGATAACTCTGATTCGGAATTTTTTAGCACTACGTATGATCATACAAAACAGCTTCCAAAGCAAACAGAGCCTTTGTACACACCACTACTGCAAATTATTCTGTGTGTGTGTGTGGGGGGGGGGGAATGTAAGTTCTTT